GAATCGTTTCACCTGCAGTAACGAGAAAGCTTACTAGTATCTAGAAGCGTCCTGGACAATTATTTCACTGGGAATCGTTTCACCTGTAGTACCAAGAAGCGTGCTAGACTGTCTTAGAAGCTTTGAGTAACTAGAAAGCTGATGAACGTCATGGTGTATAACACGATAATCCCCACAAAGTCACAGCATACTGTACGTAGGAATCAACCACCTTCTGTTGATCCTGTCCTAGCAGCAACTGCCTGGGAAGGTCTTGCTGCATGGCTGGCAGATGGGCGCGACCAGATGCGCATGAAGCTTTTGATCACGTGGCTTGAAGCCACTTGGCACAGATAGTGAAGCCACAGATCCAGAGCTCCATGGACCATCAAGTCATAGAAGTCGTAGAAGATGATTTTCAAGACAAAAATATAGCTGCCTTCAAAACAAATCCGCTTCCGCCTTTGAGGCGCTACAGAGTGATACGGTGCCTTGCACCCCGGCCTTTCTTCACGAGTTGATGAAAGGTGGCAAGTTCCAGGCCACCATCAAGGGAGAGTTGATCCCTGGAAGCCACGACTACAAGCTGGACACCCACGTCTACTCGGCGATTCGTGTCTGCAAGGACAGGGAACCGCTTGGACGCACAACTTAGAGTCCAGTGGCAGGAGCTTCACAGTTGAGACAGCTAGGGCAAGGGTGAATTATTATTCATTGTGGGAGCCAAAGTCCCTTCAAGACTTTGCTATGATTATAGCAAGTGGTAAGCTTGGGATTCGCTAACTGAGTATCAGAGCTTTCAGCTTCCACCCCAAAGCAGCATTTTACTGTGACATTGAGCTGGAAGGGTTCTTGGGAAATGTTTCACTGGGTATCGTTTCACCTGTAGTCACTAGAAGCTTAATAGATGGTCTTAGAAGCTTTTAGTAAGTAGAAAGCTTACTGGTAACTAGAAGCGTCCTTGAGATTCGTTTCACTGGGAATCGTGGCCACTGTACAACAAAGAAGCATAATAGACTGTCTTAGAAGCTTACTGGTAACTAATATGCTTACTAGTAACTAGAATCGTCCTTGGCAATCCTTTCACTGGGAATCGTTTCACTTGTGGTAACAAGAGTCTTACTAGACTGTCCTTGGGAATTACTAATATTTTGAAGCCTACTAGTAACTAGAATCACTAGAAGCGTCCTTGGGAATCGTAGGTGGGCCACAAATGCCGATGCCGAGCTGCTCGGTGCTTCGTGTCTTGAAGGACCTGCTGATCAAAGTTGGACCTGCTGATCAAAGTTGGATGTTGGCAGGGAGCAGCCTTGGAGCACGCCTACAGTCCTGCAGGCCAGCCATGCAGTTCCGGGCATCCGTGCATGAGCAGTGCCATGATGACCGCGTTCCCATGGCTGTGGGTGGACTTGTCCTTTTGGCTTGCCGGCTGAGTTCACGAAGCACCCAGTGAGCCCATCGATACTCCAGTTCCAGGTTGACGACTTCAGCCACTTGGCGTGTTGAGCATGGAATGTGAGCCCAGGCAAGGGCAGAATTCAATGGAAGATAGAGAATTGATGATTTGATTTCAACATTCTTCAGATGATTGTTCAAGACGTTGGAACTCATTCTTCTTATCCAAAGGTCTCCTGAATTCTTTGTCGCTGCCACCCTTGCAGATGAGCCTTTGTTCTAAACACTCTTGTCTGGCGCTCGACCTGAGCGCGTCAGTACCTGTGGGAGCCACAGTCTGCTTGGAGCTGGTGGTGCGAGTCGAAGGGGCACTTCATGTGGTGCTTGAAGAGGAGTATGGCTGGCCTACTGCAAGTCAAGCTGCTCAAGGTCTTGAGGCGGGCATTCAGCCTTGCAGAGCCTTGCAACCTTGCACACCAAGCAGTGATTCTTTGGTGACACCATCATGTTGTTAGAATGTTTTGATTGACTTCACACGACAGGAAGCAGACCACTGGCCAGTGGAACCATGCGGGGGACAATGTGACCTTCATGAACGACGACAAGGACTTCAACGTTGACTATGTGGAGACCTACGACCTGCCGCCGAACTTCTGCCAGAGGAGGATCTTGCCGGACCAGCTCAAGGACGACTCGGCCGAGCCTTGGGAAGGACAGCGGAGCTACTTGCAGGTCGCACAGTGGCGCGGTGAGCGTGTGGCTGTGGCCGAGTTTGCCCTTGGTTTGAAGATGGCAGTCGTGCTTGAGTTGCACCTTGCCAGCACCATCTGACTGTGATTTTCTGCTGCAAATGGCACGCTGGAACATTATAATTCCATGTGTTGCCAGTCTTTTTACGTTGCAAGCCAGCCTTGCCAGCCACCCTTGCCAAGGTCACATGACCCTTCCAAGAAGTCTAACAGACGACCCTTCATGTCCATGGTGAAGGTGGCTTGGCTTGCAGAGGATGTTTTCAGCATCACGGGAATGCACCCCTAAAACGATCCAAATTTGAGGAACTATGTTGAGACAGCCGCCATGTCACCTAGTGTCTCTAAGACAGCTAAGGCATAATGTACCCTGTAGCATGTCAATAGTGTCTCTAAGGGAATGAAAATCAAAGACCGTGCAGTGAGTGCAGCCTCGACATGTCGACAGGTGGTGACTGCAGACGTGCCAATGAACATTTGGCAGGCCGTGCGATACTTGTGAGCGCGGCGCCGCTGGCGCTTCGGGAGCGTGGAGCATCTCTGAGCGCAGCGGATCTTCTCACCAGCAAGAGCTTCACAGCTTCGGCATTTCAAACGTTTCGCCGCCAAACTTCGGATTTGAGCGGGCCTAAATGGAGAACCAGCGGCAGGAGTTTTCGCTCCAGCAATTTTGGGATTGGTTCAATATTGCGTTTCAAGATCGAGAGGTTGAGGGACTCTATGGGGCCCTATAGTGGTACATATGGGACAGGCTGAAGGCTTGCTCAACCTGCCTCATACGCGTGATTCAAGCAAGGCATTGAAAGGCCTTGGTAAGTGGTTCTGCTCAATGCTTGCGAAACCATGGAAATTTTGAAAAACAAGATTTGTTTAAACAGAGGACTTTTTCTTAATTTCACATGAAGGTAGGTGGGGAATGAAAAGGCGTCCGAGCAGAGCGGTGTTCAACACTAAGGTATACTGTCAAAAACCCAAAGCTGATATTTTACTGCGAGGGTATAGGATCCAGTAAGCCTGGTATTGTTTTGGCCCAGCTGGACATCTACAAGAGGGACAAGACACCAGTGAGGTTAAACAACCTCAGGCTGTCCATGGTGTGCTCGATGCTAAAGCAGCAGAGATGAGCACTCCTTGACTCAGAGGATGAAGTGCAAGGGGCTATGGTACAATGCCTGCATGCTTGGTGTAGCATCATCAAGTGTTTGATGGAGCAGGAGTGTTTCTCACAGCTGAAGAATACAGCTTGGTGGAAGACCTTGGCAAAAGGTTCTTTACTACCTATGACTTCTTGAACAAATGGGCCTTGTCAAAAGGCAGGAAATTATTTCATGTCACCTTCAAGTTCCACAGTGGCCACCGCCTCCTGAGAGACAGTAAATATGTGAACCCAAGGGTTCATTGGAACTTCAGAGGTGAGGACTTTGTCTCCAAGATCCAGTTGGGGCATTCTTGCTGCTTTGGATTGAAGAGCAGCAAACTTTCTTACAAACTGTCACTCAAGTATCGAGTCTTGCTGCAGCTACAGTTGACCAGACCAGGCTTCAGCTTCAAAGAAAATGCAGAGACAGAAGCCCCTTGACAAAAGGAATTTTGTCCAAGTCCCCTTGACAAAAGGGCAACACATCAGCAAGTCCCCTTGACAAAAGGCCAACACATCAGCAAGTCCCCTTGACAAAAGGGTCGAGTCTCACCATAGCCATGGCATGGATGGAATCTCATCCATGTGCCCTTGGCAAAAGGGCAGGCATACTAAGATTTCCTGAGGAAAAAAGCTGCTCAAAGACTGGGCTGGGAAGGCTTACAAGGTCATTTTTGCAATTGATTTTCTTATTGATTCTACTTGGTGTGTTTTGACCCTTTTTCATTTGATTCTCATTATGTTTTTCAATGTTTTTTGGTTCGAATTTACTATTGAACAGATTGATATAGTAAATATTCAAAATTTTTAAATTGAAAAAACATACCTTCAACAAGGAAAAAAGTTATTGATTAGAATCAATAGCCGATGCTCAGGGTATTTCCGGTCTCTCATGCTATCTAAACCGATCCTGGCGACCGATCTGGTGTGGTTGGTATATATTTCCGGTCTCCCATGCTATATAACTCGCTGGTGACCGATCCTGGCGTTCCCCAGTCTTCCACGCTATATAATTCGCTGGTGACCGATCCTGGCGACCGATCCGGTGTGGTTGGTATATTTCCGGTCTTCCGCGCGATATAATTTAATTCGCTGGCGACCGATCCTGGCGACCGATCCGGTGTGGTTAGTATATATTTCCGGTCTCCCATGCTATATAACTCGCTCGTGACCGATCCTGGCGACCGATCCGGTGTGGTTGGTATTTTTCCCCGGTCTTCCACGCTATATAATTCGCTGGCGACCGATCCTGGCAACCGATCCGGTGTGGTTGGTTTTTTTTTTTCCGGGTCTTCCACGCTATAAATTCGCTCGCGACCGATCCTGGCGACTGATCCGGTGTGGTTGGTATATACTTCCGTTCTCTCATGCTATCTAGACCGATCCTGGCGACCGATCCTAAGGAACAGTCACCGATCCGCAATTGCCAGTCACCGATCTGTGTTGTCCAGCGACCGATCCGACCATCCCTGGTCTCCGATCCGTGGCGGCCGATCCGACCAGCTTGGTCACCGATTCTGGTGACCGATCCGCCCATCACCCGCTACTACTATTACCCCAACCATCCTCAGTGGGCTATAATATTTTGTTGATTCCCTTTTTATCCCCGTTGAATATGTTTTTGATTTTTTTTGGATCCCTTACCCGTGATTGAGCGGTTAAACCTCATCACCTCCCTGGCCGCCGCGAGGCGCGATCCGCGAGGCGCGCGCTCCCGCGGCACCCGCGCGCGCTCCCAGGAATCACCTCGTGGCCGACAACGCGGTGCAGGTCTTCGGCGGGCGAGGCGTCACCCAAACAGGCGGAATCAGACCTTCTTCCGGTGACGGGACGTGAACTGGGCGAAGACAACGGGTGAAGACAAGGCCGCTCTGGGGGTTTGGAGTGAAGCTGAATTGGTTTGGGTCCTTATAGGTGATCGTTACAAGGCTCCTTTCAGCGAGTTGTGATTGAAAAGAGTTTGCATTCATGAGATGGGGCACGAACCAGAAGTAGCCGGGTACCATCCTGCAAGGACTCATGGTCCCCTTTTGGCCTTCCTAATTCTCACCATTGGTTGGAATTGGTTAAGATCTACTTCCATGTTAGTGGGTCAGAGTGTATTCCTTCCCATGCCCAGTTTGCTTGTTTGCTCAGCCATGCTCAGCCCCAGGCATGGGACGTGTCGTCGAGGTGTTCTCGCGCATGTACAAGATCCCTGCAGTCTACGGTGGAAGCGAGGAGGGGCCTGGCACCTCCACCTGGCACTGGACGTTGACCGACAAAAGATGACTGGAAACATAGAAGTTCCCTCGGTCAAGGTGTGTTGATGTTGGGGCAGTGTGCATGTCAAGTCGAAGTGTCGCCACCATGGCACGGATGAGCACGTGGGAGGAGATCATGGCTGACTTGGCAGTGCGGACAGCCATCAAGGGCTATCCAAAGCAAGCGAGACTGTGAGGCACTGGCCACTCAGCGGCAACGAATGGACCAAGGAGTGTGGTGGCTCTCGACCCGAGATAGGTCCCATGTGTTTCTCCGCAAATCTGTTTAGATTTGATGCAACATGGAAGAGTTAATGGGTTTGGGTGGAACTGGATATTGAACTGAAGGATGTGTGGGGATTTTTGGTCTATAGTTTTTTTGGTGGTTTTGGCAGCAAGGTGCGTGCCACGTAACATTGTACAGTGCACCCGCACTGCTATTGAGTTCACGCGAGTGTGTTAGACGGTTTGGAGGGATCACGTTCTTTGAAACACACCCACGTGAACTCATGATAAAATGTGCAATTTCTCTGCACAAATGGCAATTTCTTTCGAACCCGCAGAAGCGTAACGAAGACTGTCCCAGACAGTGACCGCGAAGAACGTCTCGTTGGGTGAATTGACTTGGTGCAGGTCTTCCATGCTATTCTGATCAGGTCTTCCATGTTCAGTCCAGTCCTCAAAACAAAACACATGGTCCATCAGGTCTTCAAGTACTTTCTGAAAAGGTGTTTGGGGTTTGGAGGGTCCAAATACCTTCTGAGGAGGTACTTCAGCCCATTCGGGGGTCCATCAGGGTGGAGCATGTTTGAGTACGTGACATGATGGTTTCTCTCTCCAGTGCGCATTCCAGCAACTTCGGCAGGAACAGAGGCAAGATGCAGTTTTGTGACAACATGGTCGCCGTGCCGTGAGGGGACTCCGAAATTGTAGGTTTCGGGCGTCGGTCCGCGCGCGGGGAGGATACCACACGCGTAGTGTTGTTTCTATGTTGCGAGCCTGCGCGAAGAGCAGCAACGCAGAGAGGAGAAAAGTATGTTCGACTTGGGACTATGCTGGCCTAAAAACCCGTGGCAGTTCACCAAACGTTCTTCGTAATTCTGTTTGGGAGCAGAGCAAGGGTCTTTGCACACTACGGAGATTTGATGCTTTTGATTTCCTTTGTGTCTTCACATGCAGGTCTGCCTGTTTCGTTTGCATTGTTGATTCAAGCCTTTTGGTTCTGCATGTTCCCAGCCAAAGGAGCTCAACGCCAGACCACCTCAAAGATATACAGTATACCTTTTGTTTGTCGACCGGTCATCATGAATTTCCTCCTTTGACACAAGACATGGATGCGCCCACGGTCCGGACCAGTTTCCCCCACGGGGTGGTCTCCAAAATTTGACACGTGTCATTCTCTCGAGTACACCGTTGTTTGGGTATAGTGGACCTGTGGTCCCCCTGCACACAGATCACCTTTGCCGAAGGGTGAGCATACATAAATCAATTCTCAATTCAGGCGACCTTGTTGAAATCACCAGGTGTGAGAGGAGCCATTTCATTTCAGTGGTCAACCGCCAAACAAGTCAACCAATTCAGCTCAAAGAAGAAGGAGAGGAGAGGAGAGGAGAGGAGAGGAGAGGAGAGGAGAGGAGAG